TAGCTAATTGATCCAACCTCTAACAATTGTTTTACCGTCGTCTTAAAATGGCAAGCTCTCTGCAACATATAATAAATAGGCCTACAATAAGTTATATAAAAGGTATTAATACATGTACATTCAATATGATGGTTGACATGGTATGTAAAGTGTATAAATAGCTCCATAAGTAGGCCTTTTATTAGTTTTTTATAGATATTCAAGATATTTCATTTCAAGAAAATAACTAAGCTAATGTTAATGCTAGCTAGCGTTAGCCATATTGGTTAACTAGCATGTGTTGAATAACCTTTGGTCAATAGGAGGTGTTTTTGAGTTCCAGAGGTATGCTACACTTCTGTTATTCTACCAGACCTGCTGTGAGAAAACAGCGAGTTCCTGTACTGTGTAAATAAGATAGCCCTGCTTTTTTCTCCAAAAATAGATATTTCACAGAAGTTCTGTAGACTAATTTACCCCGCAGTATGTCTCTATAAATAACCATTTAGGATGCCATATCGGCACCAAGATATAGAAGCTAGAAAGTTAATGTAGGATCACAGGAACAAGTGCACTCCCCCCTCTTTCCAATATGTCCTCAACTTCACTCTCTCCAAACTAAAATAGCTTTCAAAATCTCTACAAGAAGCTCTGAGTGCTGCACAAGCCACACAATGCATTCGGTACTTGGATCTGAATGAAGTCTGAGTCAATGGATATACAGTGAAAAGGAGGAAACAGATGTGGAAGCTGGAGATTAGATTCTGCTCTTGTGTGCAGCTCCGCTCTCCGCCTGCTGATTGTGACCCAACCACTGACTACCTCACCCAGAGTCCAGCCCTACATGGCAAAAACTACTGAATGCAATCAAGATATTGCTCATATGATCAATTGACATTTAGCATGGACTGTTAGGCTTAGCAACAAATGAGGTTGGCCAGCCTGGCAGTCATGTCTACTGATGGTTTGCCCATATGCTCAAAGGCAGTGATAATGCCATCGTGAGGAATAACTTAAAAAGGTAAAAGAAAACGTTGGTATTCAGCGCTGGGACAAATGTAGACACAGGGAGAGCTCTAAGCTACTGTATAATAGAGTCTCGTCATAGGCCCAGATAAGGCTGGGATAATATTATGATGGCTAAACCATGACTAAAAGCTTAATATATCATCAGAATCTTATTTTGTGATGAGTCGTTGGTCATGCCGTGGAGATATAAATAAATCTGTACTAATGTGTTCTAATTCAATCTCTGTGGGAAACACTAACTGTAAGCCAAACGCAGTAACACACCATGGACAGTGTGCGTGTGCGTGTGTGTGTGTGTGTGTGTGTGTGTGTGTGTGTGTGTGTGTGTGTGTGCGCGCTTGTGTTTATGAGTGCCATGGCTGGACCTCAGTTTCATCCTCCATTGCCCATATGACACCAAGTGGCCTGCTGGCACTAGACTAGTGAGAAATGTAACACACCAACCAGAAATAAAAAAAGATGTGTGTCCCTGGTATTATGAATATATACTTATTTCGTTTTTAAGTCTTTAGCGACATACACACATCAAATGGTCCTACTTTTGCCCTTGTTGTTTGATATTCTGGTTGATTAATTTAGGATACCATGCCACTGTTCTATGGTTTAAGGCGTATAAGTATAGCTTTGCTCTCGAGCCACAAACAAGGCTAGACTAGGTTAACCTTAATGGACTAATGTGTGTTTGAGAATGATGAGACATGGCCTGGTTTGGACGTGCACTGCCCCCCCGGAGGTGCCATTATTTGTGACTCAATCCGACAAACCTTTTACTGGGAAATTAAGGAGCAACAGAGTGAAGTCCTACTCCTCACCCTTGAACCATCTGCTGGCGGGATGAACCCCAGCAAAAGAACAACTAATATTATTACTTTTTTTAAACCCCAAGCAGCAAATTCTCCTATATGCAAGCAGAAAGCAGATATCCAAATACATCTATTCGAGACCAGTACTTGAAAACCAGGCCATTTGTTTATGCAAAGCCCCAGACGCTACACCAAGGAGTGCTGGCACTTTTAAAGCTACCCACAAACACCATATGTTTCCTTCAGTCTCTGTCATTGACCTGAGTGTGCGCAAAACCACTTAGGGTGCAGCAGCTTAAGCATTTTCGTAGTCCTGCTTTTTTTTTTGAAGAGGACATTCAGTATCCCATCCTTGTGCATCTAACAAACAGCAATACATTATTTAATGGTACAGATCAACAACAGCTGTTCGTTGGGAACAAATGAGGTACAAATGAGTTGATTAGTGTGTGAATACAGTGACACGTCATCCACATTAGCCACAGCAATATAGGTTTCTTCAAAGGGTTTTTTGACAGACAACCAATCTCTACAAAAGGCTAAAGGTTGGATAATCTGTTTCAACACTCATCAGTCCAGGTCAGAGGTTTCCAAAATGATTTCCCAACCCCCTGTGGGCTCCTTGCAGATGCGAGATTGAGTTGATTTCACTGGTAACGCATTCACCTGGGGGTTAGCAGCACTGGAGGAGAATGCATGTGGGAATGATGATTCAGACCAGACACATCCCGCTCTGATGCTATCTGCCTATAGCCGCTCTGTATTAACATTATAACACTAGCTTCCCTTTTCACCAGATGCAGGGGGCAATGATGCTGGCTGACTGTAACCATCCAGATGGTGTGGATGTCACCTGCTTGTCACAATATTTACTTAAAGTGACTGATTACTAATATTTCGAGCACACCTCGGTAAAACAAATCAAATTGAAAAAGCACTTGGCCAATTTGAAGCTTATAATAGTTTTGCTGTTTTGAGTTTCCATCCTCAAGGTTGCAGTTCAAAGTTATTTTGTCGTGTAAGCTTAATATAATGTATTGCAATATAGCTTTTGAGTGAGTAAGGACCTGTTGGGCTTGGTCATAGGTTACCCATAATCCTGGTTTACTCCAGAGAAACCTACATCATTAGGTGAGGCATAGTGGTGGATGCAATGAAATCCTAGCTGTGCAGGACTCCACTTTGGGAACCACAGCCTCACACTGATTTTAATGCCCTTTAACAGGTTGTATGACACTGCTGATATCCCAGCTGAGTGAGCATGAATTAAACACAACCGCCTGCTGGCCGAAATGCAACCATTTTAATGATCAACAACCGCCTGCGGCATATCTTGAATGGAAAGTGTGTGGTGTGTGTCTGCGGCCTAAACTGTGGTCTCCTGCACGATTATAGCGTTGTTAAACTTGCATGGCTTATTGGAAGTTCGCCTTGCAGGTATTAGGGAAGGCTTTGGGTGAATAGTCTGACTGAGGCTGCACAGGGAAGGCTGCTCTTTGCAAACCAGTTCCAGATACCCCCATTGGGATAGACACACTCCTATAAAATCACTTCTTCTACACAAGTGACTGAATCCACCCAACTTCGAGCAGCAAATCCACTCTTTTTCTGTGTAATGTGGGTGGCACCCACACACAGTGAGGGAAAATCTCCGGCATGCAACGAATGGGAAGAAGAAGCGATGCAAACTTACGTGAAAACGAAGAATAAAGTGGTCGATCCCACCAGGAGAGTGGCAGCAGTGGATACTGGGATGTATTTGGTGGGTTTAAATCTCTTTCCAGCGCTGTTGGGCATTCTGTAATTTCCACATTCCTCAATTATTTATTCCGATTGGAGTCGCATGTAGAGAAATAAGATCCAGTGTGCAGTGTGTGGGGCTTTTCTGAGGCTAATAAAAGGTACAACCGGTCCGTGTTTGCTGTCGGTGAAGCCGCATAGATCCTCCGATAGAGAGGCAGGAATATACAGAGTGCTCACTGAAAGCCTGGAAATCCCACCCTCACAATCCAGCCCCCTGGTGAGGTCACTGAACCGCTTGGAAAGGTGGAGCCTCTGTGCAAACCCTGCAAGTGTCCTCACAAGAAAATAAATCCGGACAATGATGTTGATTAGCATGCACTTCGTACTAATGCACAGTCACTGTCCACCCAATTATTTTGCAGATTTAAAAAAATACTATTCACGCAGCTCACCGGCTCTTTAAATCTTGCAGCACATTAATTAATTAATTATAAAAAAGCTCTGCAAGTTTAACAAGACTCACAGTTTTTAGTGTCAGTGGAGCTGCTCTGCAAATAGTTTTTTTATTGGAAGAGAGCTACACCAAACTTCATTTAGAAACTCGCAGTTTAATTTTAATTGGTTTACACCCACGCGTACAAACACATGCCACCCAGGAATAATTGCTTTTACAAAGAGACGACTTCCACTCTTAAGTTCGGTGTAGTTATTGTATACTAAAAGTAATGTATTTAAGTGATATTTTAAGTTGCAAACTGTATGACTTAACACATGCCAGAGTCGCCTATCACTAACATGGGTGTTAGAAAACAGGGCCACTATAAAGCTTTTGCAGTTGAGTTGAGATTGAACAGAAATTAGGATGTATGTTGTTTTGTAAGACTTTTTTCTTCAGAAGCTCATTAATTTTAATTATTAATTAATTGATTGTTGCATCTTGTATGAAGTTTATAGAATAATCAGGGTTACTCCGCTGCAGTTAGCTTTGTGGATTTAGGGATAAGAGCGCCCTCAAGTGGCAGATGTTGGGATTTATGCCACTGTTTTGGATGGAGAAGATAAAGCGGAAGTCGTCATCATTGCGGAAAGAGGCAACTTTTTTTGTATGTACTGTTATTCCAACTTTAATATAAACTGTAATTGAAGCTCAAAGGTGAAAGAGGGGCAGAAGAAGAAATAAAGATAGATAGATAGATATTTGAATACTCTACAATAGACACTTTAACTAAGCACCAAATATGTATAGAAATATACTACAGAAACATGACAATAACAAGAAGAATCTATTAATTGTATTTTCAGGGAAAGTGTATTATTTGTTTATCACTTTGTTTATATTAATTTGTGTTCATTTATTATTATGAATAATAAAGGGACAGATAATTATTCTCCACACTCCAGCACAGTAGGTGGCGGTAATGCACCTTAACTCTGGTTGCTGCCGTCATAAAACCAACGAAGAAGAATCTTGTTGGACTGTCTAGATTAGCTTTGCTTTTCTCTTGAGCTGCTGACAGCATCATTTTTAGTTTAATAGCTTAAAAAACTGCCATCTGATTAAAACTGTGGCACAGAAAGGACGTTTTGTTTCAGTTGCTGGATTGGAATCACCAAATAAAACACAAAATAATCAAAAGCGAGGGAGAAGACTGCGTTACCTTTCTGTAACGGTAACGCAGATTAAGCTAATCAGCTAGCAACAGTTTGCTCTATTCTCTCAGGATGTTTTACAGGAAGACTTTAAAACTTGTGTGCGGGCTGGCTGGAGGATCTGTCGTGTTGGTGTTCGCTGCAGCCGCCGCAGACTCCCGGGGATTGTTCGGTGATCTCCGGGGAGGAGAGGCGGGTCGCTGGTCCAGACTGTCCGTCCTGAGAGCTGCGCAGCCGGCGTGGACTCCTGCCATCCACACGCCGAGCCCCACCGGACACTCCTGGGACTTTAACTGGGATAAGTACGTGGTGCTTTATTTGCTGTGTATTTTTCACATAGTATTGATAATTCAGTTTATTTGACAGATACTCAACATTATAATGATAAAGAGAAAGGAAATACAAACTGAAACAAGAAATAAATTGTACACAGGAAAAAGGAATCTGGTTTAAATAAGGCTTATTCAATTCATACTAGTTCTTTATTTGGAGTCACATAGTATTGATAATTCAGTCTCATTGGCAAATCATCAACATTATAAACGAAGAGAGATGAAACAGAAAATGAAACAATATGACACAGGAACAAGTCATCTGGTTTAAACAAGTCAATACATGCATGTACTTAATGTAATTCTAGGGCTTACTTGGAGTCACATAGTATTCTCTAATACAGTTTGAGTGACAGATACTTAATCATTTTAGTGACCAAAAAAGAGAGCAAATAAAGTAGATTTAAAGTACCAAAAGTAATTTGACTTGATTGAAGTGGACACCTGCCAGCCACAGCCAAACCCAACAGGACACACCTCGGACTTTAAAATGCGAACTGTAACGAAAACGAAATAGTACATAGTAAAAAATCTGATTTAAAAAAAAGTCAATAAATGCATGTAGTTAGTTATTTTAATTCATATTAGTTCTTTATTTGGAGTAAATAAATGTACGGAAGTAAAAGTAGTAGTGGAAAGAAGAAGGAAAACGTAGCCAAACATGTAAATACTCAAGTAAAGTACGAGTACCTTAAAGCTGTATTTAAATATAGTACTTTGATTAATCTACTTAGTTACTTTACACCTCTGACACTTAGGATAGTGAGAGGCTGAGAGTGATTCCTTATTCTTCCTGCTGCAATTTTTCCCAATCAGTCAACTGTGAACATTTGGATTCTGCTTATCGCCTTCTCAAAGTACCATGTTTGGAAATTCTCAGTGTCCTTCTGCTCATCATCTTAGATCATGTCAACACAGTTCACACTCCCACAAGTTAAGCACGTCCGACAAAGCCTCTTTAATCCCAGGATGACCTCCTCTCTCCTCTGCAGGAGAGACCCGTCTTCACTGACCAATGGGAAGAAGAAGGAGAGCTCCACTGAAGACCCCAGCTCCGAGCAGGACAACGGGAAACCCAAAGCCACGAGGAACATCCTCCTCATCCGACACTCGCAGTACAACCTGAGCGGCCTCAGCGACAAGGAGAGGATCCTCACTCCTTTAGGTGCTCGTTTTCACCTTTGGATAAGATGATAATAATAATACGTTTATTTATTATAGCACCTTTCACAGAAATAGAAAGAACAAAAGTTCAAATGAAGACCACAGAAACATGAATACAATAACCACATGAGGCAGAAATGTACGGTCAACATAAAAACAAAACACAGGCCACGTGGAGTCCTGAAAGGAACGAACACGAGAACAGAACACTTCACCCCAAAGTGCTCCAGTGGGGATCGTCCTCAGTACTGAGTATGGAAGTCGCTTTGGATAAAAGCGTCTAACAAGCAACATGTAATGTAAAAAGGTCTTCAGTAGTTAATAAGAGAAGATATAGAATACTTTATTCATCCCAAATTGGGACATTTTTGCGTTGCAGCATAAAAAGACATTGTGAATAAGAGAAATGTAAAAACTAGAAATAAACAATCCAAAATGTAAATATCTCAAATAGAAATAAAAAAGCATAATTACAAATATACAGGAACAACATATAAAGCAGGATATTATATATATACAGGAATTGTGCAAGGAATGGATGATTACTTGTTAGATGTCAAATGTACATTTCTTGAGTCCAGTTATCTGGGGCGACTGTGGCTGTGAGGGAGTGCGTCTTTGTGGGTTCGACCCCAGCCCGTGCAGTCAACATGTCGATGTATCCTTGAGCAAGACACTTAACCCTGAGTTGCTCCCGATGGCAAACGGTGTGTGAATGTGGTATGTAAAGCGCTTTGAGGGGTCTTAAAGATAAAGCGCTATATAAGTACAGTCCATTTATCATTTATCAAGAGAAGCGATGGAGCAAGGCAAGTTTATTTATATAGCACTTTTCTGTACGCGACAATTCAAAGTGCTTTACAAAACAAATTAAAATACTTTTTAGGAATACATTAAAAACACATTATGGCATTTTACAACAGACAAAGCAAAGATAATCAAATAAACACCACAGGTAAACAATACATGTTTAAAAGGCATGCTGTAGTTCGAATATGATCTCAATTAAAAGCAGCGGCAAAGAGATATGTTTTTAGTCTCGATTTAAAAATAGTAAGCGTTTCTGCGGACGTGCGTGATTTGGGTGGTTTGTTCCAGAGTGTCGGGCATACAGCGAAACGCTGCCTCTCCATGTCTTGCTGTTACTCTCGGAGCCGATAGCAGACCCGTCCCAGAAGACCTGAGGCACCTCAGCAGAGTTCTCTTCCAGCCAGAGGAGACTTGTAATAAAGTGAGCTTGCAGTCGGCAGGAATGTTTTCCTGTATCGGTCCTTGTGATGTTTAGAAATATCTTAGATGTGTCTAACAGCATGTATCTGTAGAGGAAACTTCTGTGTAGCTATGCAGTGGGAGTCACCGACTCAGGAAGGAGACACAGGAAGAGCAGTAGCTTTGATGTCAAACACATGATGGTTTATTTGGAGTTAACGGCCGGAGGATTCACATCACAAGTCCAAGAGTCAGAGGTTCTGACTTCACGGTAGAGTTGCCACGTCAATTCTGGAGAGCCTCTCTCTTGCCAGCCCATCTAACTGGTTTCGCAGAGAGTAAACAACATATT